TGGTGGGCACCCAAGTACGTTCCCAATGCTACACGTGACTCGTATTTACAACTCTAGGCAGTCGTATTATGTGGTCGACTCTCTTCATTATAAACACCGACTTAAGGTTTTGTGCATTTTAAAAGGCCCAGTTCTTCAGCGGATGTGGCATCACTGACTGCACTGTTCAGTCTGTTCAGTGGTTGTTATGTTTATGCGGGTAGGTAAGTGTAGGTAGATATGTAGTAACCCAGAAATGTTGTAACGAAACAGTTGTCTTGTGTAATGAGAAGAGATAGTATGTGGGTAGGTGTGAGGGAGGGGGGGGTTAGATAGAGCACGTGTGCTCGGGTGTTAGACAGTCTGTGTGTGTGAGTGTCATGGTGTTTGTTTGTGTGTGTGTGTACGCGCGCGCGTACGTGTGTGTGTGTGTGTGTGTGTGTGTGTGTGTGTGTGTGAGAGAGAGAGAGAGAGAGAGAGGGGAGAGAGTTCGTGTGAGAGATGGAGTGTGTGTGTGTGTGTGTGTGTGTGTGAGAGAGAGAGAGAGAGAGAGAGAGAGAGAGAGGAAGGGGAGAAAGAAACAGCGAGAGAGAGAGAGAGAGAGAGAGAAATACCACAGATCAATTTCTAAAGCAGGAAACGAGAAACGCCAACTAGTGCAGAATACACCGTAAATCCAGCTTCATCAAGTTAACCACGGCTGTCATTTTGTCAATTAACCTCAATATTGCTACTCCTTTGAGAGCTCGGTCTCAAGATGAGTGGTATAATACCAATACAGTGTATGTCAACCTGCAATCACTTGTAGGCCTCTCGCTATGTCTTGTCTTTCATACGTGTCCTGCAGGTTCTTCTCTTACTTAGAAATGTTTACATGGGAGCTTACATTACGAGTACTTCAGTCGCCACTTCAGTGTCATACCCCGGGAACGTGTTAATATGAACATCAAAGAGGCGTTAATGTCCAACTGTCATTACAGTTCATAAAAGAAGCCTTTGAGTAGGTAATGGAAGTATGGGATTTGTCAGAGGCAGCTAGGAAATTCGTGTCTGTGGTCTTGGATGCATTATTCGTTTTATTCGCACAAGCTCTTTTGTTCGTCGTTTCCAGGAATGCTAGGAAATAATATGTATAGTCGTAGGCGTACACTGAAGGAACCGGGGCAAGTCAGTGCCGTTTGCCTTCCCTTCGAATTCTTAGCGTCTAAAGTGGCCCGTGCTTCCCTTCAAAACGAAACAAAAACCAGACATTTTCCCATTTGTGACCTTGACAATCCACCAAAACGTTTTTTTTTTCGTCTGAAATTATTGCGGAGCAAAGTGAGGTTGAAATGACCGTTCTTGTGCAGTCCCCCCCTATTCCCCCCCCCCCACACACACACACACACACACACACACACACACACACACACACATTAAGAGAGAGAGAGAGAGAGACCCACAGAATCTCAGATCCGTTAGTGTCATTCAGATCGAATGTCGACAGTCTGTATTGTGGACCCGCCCTCCTTTGTGCTCGTGCGCTCTCCGTAACCCCGTTGCTAAGGCCCAATTCCCATAGACGCCACCGTCTACTCAGATCGACCCAACTCTGCGGGAACTCTTGCTGAGTGCAATCAGCTTAACTGAATGAAAAGCCTCCTCCTGGCGTTGAGTAGAAAACAGAAAATCTGAGGCTGATACGAGTATGTTGGAAACAAGAGGAAGCGTGTCATTTAGTTAAGCTGATTGCACTCAGCGAGAGTCCCTACAAAGTTGGATCGATTTAAGTAGACCGATGGTGTTTACGGGAATGGGATATTGGGTACTCATGCTGCATATTTGATCCAGCCAGATCGGATATAGGCCTACTTCATGTGTTATTGTGTTTTTTTATTTACGTCACAGCGAAACGAAACCTATTGTCTGAAAACTGTAGGTGTGTTACCGATTTTCTGTACAGAGCGGTGTAAAGAAAGGCACGGATGCCAATTTGATATCATTTTCAAATTAACTTCGTTTTTCTGTACAAACGTAGTCGTCAAAATAAGCCAAGTTATTGTTATCACTTCTACATGTAGCAAACGCAAATGAAAAGAATTAGCTGCGTATGTAGCGGGATTCTGGTATGTAGAAGCGCGAGAGAGATTTAAATGAGTATATCCTCGCTTGTGCACATGCGATATTTTTGTTGTGCCTTGTTGTACCTTAACGTAATTTTTTTTAATGCAAATGATAAAATTAACAGAAATATAGCATCGCCAGGAAAATTAGGACCTGTATTGACGCATGCTCACACGCCTGCTTGCGTGCAGGCCTTCTGATTTTTTCTTTTTATCCTAGGACGAAGAAATCAAAATAGCTATCTCCGTTTATTAGATTTGACTGAGAGAAAAAATCATTTAGGCGCTGTTTGAGGGTTGAAGTGAGGTCAGTCTAAAGATCGCCATTGTTTGGTTAGTGCGTTGACATTAATTTAGTGCAAGATCGAAGTAGATTCGTCAGCAGTAAAAGTTTCTGCTCCAGGTATGTATTTGTAATATATGGTGAAACTAGGATCAAGCGTTTTGCTTGTGTGTGTGTGTGTGTGTGTGTGTGTGTGAATGTGTGTGTTGGGGGGCGGTAAACGCAAAGATTACAGAATTATTGTCGAGTAAATCGAAGCAAACGTAAAACAGTATAGACGAGGTTATTTACCAATATATGTAGGACACAGGAATAGGGCACTGCTATGAATAGAAACATGCATTAAAATGTTCTATGGGAGGCTAGGAAGACGAGGAAGAAGGGGGTGCCCAAAAAGCTAGGGGTGGTATTCCCTCCCCCCCAATTCTTGTCCTTCTTTGTGTGCGACTTTGATATGACATTCGAATGCATTTACAGTGCGTGCTGCATCTTGGTATAAACATGCTTAATTTTAGAGGACACTGGACACTCACCCCTCTGCTAAATATATGCATGACACTTCCTTTTCAAGTAACTGTTGTCAGTTATCAATTACCGGAGGGGCATTTGGGCAGTGGAGAGATCCGATACTCAGGGTGTTACTGCATGGAAACGACGGATGCATTCGGATAATATAAATCTAGCTAAGGCCACATTCACAATCTACGTTGAACCGCGAACTTACAGATCCGCGGATCAAATATGCCCCACCCACTTGAAAGCTTGCCCCTGAATCTCTTCAGTGCCTGTTAGGGGATTATGCGGAAAGCTCTCAAGTGGGTCCGCCATATTTGATCCGAGGATCTGTTAGCCCGAGGATCAACTTGTTCTGAGTGCAACCTAAGTGTATGCGGAAGCAGCGTCGTGCATTTTAATACAGCATGAGTTATCAGTGTATAAAGCATAGGCCGCCACAAACCGCTTTTTATCTCCAGATGAAGGTAAAGTAATATCTTTATGGCTATAGTGAAGTGTTTTATATTATTGTGTGTGGTCTTTGAAAAATATACTGCGACGGACACAGAGACGATTCGATCTTCTGAATAATGTGTGTATATGTGTGGGTTTAAATCTGTTATTATTTTGTATGAAGATGAAGGGATTTTCCAGGAAACGTGAACATGTTATGTAAGCAGATGAAGAAGCTTAATGATTTTTTTTCCATTTTAGAGCGACGAAAACATTATACCATAGCTGAAGAATGAACGCCCCAGCAAAGCACCTTTACTAAGAAAACTTAAGCTCGCTCAAAGCCTGGCTTCCATTGAGGTTGTTGATTACCATTTAAACATAATCTTTTCATTAAGACATGCGACTCTTGGCGGGGAGACGTACTTGAACTCTGTGAATATATATGCCAGAGACTGCAATGTACATTTAAATTTGTGTGACACAGAGAGGCTCTGAAACTGAAACATTGCAAGACGAAAGGTATTTGACTTAACGACATTTTCTTTGCCTTAATTGTGACGTCACTTTCACATAAGTGACGTCATCATTTTTTAGAACACGTCCAGTGCACAAGACAAGATGACGAAGGAGGATTACGAACTGAAAGCAAAAGGGAACAAGGTTTCCCCGGAGCACACGATATCAAGCAAGGAGGATATTAAACAAGGCAGTGGAGAGACTGAAATCGATAATACGGGTCTCCAGCGTCTATTGCCGAAATTTCTTCGCATGCGATATGCGGATCCGGACCTTGAGAACCTCTACGGTGCATATTATCGGCGACAGAAACAGGGCGCTCTCTCTATAGCAGCCGTCCTTTCCTTTTTCTGTGACATTGCCCTCATCGTCTCGTACGTCGTCAAATATCAAAGTCCAAGCATCTTGGCCGTAAAAGCAATCCTCGTTATAGACTTTGTAGTGTTCTTTCTATGCAAAATCAAACCGAGGCTCCTGCCGGATAAAGGCCACCTTGCGATGTGTTTTGTATTTTGGATTTATCTTCAAACAAAGCTGTTCGTAGATATTGGGATACGGTACAGTTTAGGGATTGCGGTGTCTCCGAATCACGTTGTTGGCCTGCAAGCGTTGCTTCTCTACCTGGCTTTCATAGTTTTGCCTGTCAGAATAGCGATCTGCGGACTTTTTAACCTGTTAGCCATCCTGGGTTACCTACTTTTGACGGCCATTTTGGCGGCGATGCAGCCTTATGGGATATTCTACATAGGAAATGAGGTGAGACTGAAGATTGGAGAAAGTTGTCATACTGATCTTTTTTATTGGCCATGCAATTTAGTAGAATTGAATCAGTTATATTTCTTCTTGGTTAAACTAAAATTTGCTGACAAATTTTAAGTTACAAATAATCCAAAATACTTGATGTTTTATTTGAAAAAATTATCATGATATCCAGACGCGTCGGAAAATTGCCTTGAAATATTCAAAGATATCCGGCGAAATATTAAAGTAAAGATTTAAGTAAACAGAACCATATATTATCGATGCTGAACAACAGCTTATCAGGTGCATTAAAACGAGTCTTACCGAATGTGCTGAAGAAAATCATATCAAAAAAGTGTGCTGTTTAGAGGACATGATCTCAAGCAAGATTTTCCTTTGGGGCAAAAAGAAAAATGATAATTATAATGATAAATTACTACAAAAAGCGAGTCCTCATAAGGACCCTTTCCTACTCAAAATAAAGAAGATATCGCAAGCAGTTGTCCCTACACTTCTTGCCAGAGTTCGAGGGATGAATACCTCTTATAGCACAGAATTGGCGAGAAGTCGAGACGAAAAAAGACGCTGTGCTTTTTTTTTCAATGTTGATCTCCAAAAATTTAAGTCTATCATTTGACAAAATAAACACTACTCTCTGTGTTCTGTTGAATCAAAGAAGACAGCCGCTGTATTATAACAACCAAGTCGAGCTATTCGATGGAAATGACGATACTTATTTATTATAAATTAACGTAATTCATGCTGCATTCACCATGCGAAGTAGCACAATAAACGGCAGACCTTCATTTGCAAAATTTTGATTCAATATAATTTCAATATTTCCCCTTAGTCGCTAAAATTCAAAATTATAATCAAAATAGCAATCTGTTAATCGGGTTTTGAGTTCTAATTCTAGTGCAACTCTCTTAATGAGATAGGGGAATGGTGACTTTCACTCCTGACGGTAATATCATATATGTAGAAATTTTAATTTCTTAAAATAACTAGAAAATGGGTTTACCTATTGTTATCTTTTCAAAGCTTTGCGATATACGGTAGGTATATCTTGGAGAAATTCTGAACTAACAAGGGAAATCAATATTTTGCTATACAGTAGTCTAAAGCGCATTGTATTCCTTTACGTCTTATTAATTAGTCTGCCTAACGACATATTTTCGTATCATGCCTAAAGCAGCGAAGAAATTGATATATACATGTTTTGTGCTTTACAAGTTGCTGATATATGATTACTTTTTCTGATCTTTATCCTGCCCGAGTGCCAGACGTTTCACTTAGGTGTTAATGAAAAGTCTAGCGTTTATAACAACTGTGCGCATGAGATTCATATTTCACAATAAATACATTGTTAACAACTCGTAGAAATATGATAAATTCCATTTTACCACCAAAAGAGCAGTTATCGAAATTAATCTGGAATCTATGCTTGCCATCAAACCACATGGACCTTCATAGACGGTTATACCTCCGTAATAATCTCTTGAGAGGTTATTAAAAAAAAAACTTCCAGAAAAGAAACGTGGTCTTACATGAATGTCGAAATGGATTCATTAATCATTGGTCAGTATGGGAAAATCGTCGTTCGCCCCAGGAGAATCTGTTTTTTGACCGAAACGAACAGTTGTTACAGTTGTATCCCTTTTATGGAAATTCTGTTAGATTATTTAATAATATCATACGAAGTATGTATTTTGCTCCAACTACCGGTAATATTCTGATTCGCGTGCGCCAACATATTAGGTGCTGTGTTTCTTTGGCTTTAAATCTATCCATGTTGTGATCATAATTTTCATGTTTTTTTCTTAGGTTGCTGCTGATATACTGTTATTCATGTGTGCCAATGTATTAGGGACGATCTCATATTTTCTTGCGGACAAGAACCAGCGCCGGGCGTTCCTGGAAGCCAAAGCTTCGCTCTCAGTCAAGGTTGCCATCGAGGAGAAATCTAAAGAACAGGTAGGCCCTAACGGGAGAGTTTTCATTGCCCCCAAATGGTCGAGCTGGGGAACAAATCCCCCCTTCCTTGGCTTTGAAAGCACTTTCTCCCCAAAACCAGTATTAGAAGCCAGAACAAAAGCGAGCAATGTTTACATCTCGTCGTTTTGAGTCTTTATGCACCCTCCCCCCTCCCGATCCGCCAGTGCCCCACCCCTCCCGTTATTCCAAAAACAAAATGGCGGATTCAAACAAAGATGCAGACAGAACTGGACGCATAAGGCCTTGAGAAGTACCGCAAAATGTTCCAAATTACAACATATTTTCAATAAATAAGCTAAGAAAGAAATAAAGACCACTGAATAGATAAATAACATAAACGCAACCTGATAAACCGAGATTATTTACTTTATTCACAAACAGGAGCGCCTCCTATTGTCTGTCCTTCCAAAGCACGTCGCAGACGATATGGTGCAAGATATGGGAAATGAAATTGGAGGGCAGTTCAGGAAAATCTACATGAGTCGACACGAGGATGTTAGGTAACAGTGTAACCCTGTTAACTGTCATATAACCGATTTTAAAACTCTTTGGTGACTTGGACGAATAGGCCTTAATCAAATTCGTTTTATTCGTTCCTGTTTGGAACAACAATTGCTAGGTAAAGATGTCAGGGAATTCGTCTCTTGTTTGCATCCACATGTTGCTGTCTTCAAGGTTGCAACTTTACGTAGTAATTTTCACAACTGTGATGACAATAATAGTTCTAATATTTTTTTTTTGGGGCTTTTTGCTTTTTTTATAGTATTCTCTTTGCTGATATCGTGGGTTTTACCGCAATGTCGTCTGCTGTCACAGCGCCCGAGTTAGTTTCCGTTTTGAACCAGCTTTTTGCCACCTTTGACCAACTTTCTCAGGTAAGTCCCCGCAACAACGTGACGTCACACTACGTCACAAAAATTTTTGTGACACCACACGGCGTAACAAAGTGACACGCAATTAATTTAAATAAAGGAAAAATGAGAAATATACTTGCATCAAAAGCTAAAAAAAAAAAAAAAAAAAAAAGGATGGTAATTTTTAATACGTTAATGAAAACAAAATGAATAAAAATATTTAAAAAACCTAAATAAAAGAAAAAGTAAATAATAATACTTATAATAATTATTATGAAAATACAAAAGTAAAACTATTGTTTGGTTTATTTTCAGAAATACCATCAGCTTCGTATAAAAATCCTTGGGGATTGTTACTACTGCATCAGTGGCGCCCCCACACCCCGCCCTGATCACGCGGTACTAGCCGTCCACATGGGCCTTAGTGTGGTAGTCGCTATTGCGTAAGTACCTGTTTTTGCTAGTGGGAAAATTTCCAAGATAAGCTAGAAAAACTTACCACTCTGATGTCAGGGTCTCCTAGAGTAGTTTAATGTATTATTATTAAAAAGTAGGTCATGTGCCATACAACAATTTTTAAAAGAATATCAGTGCACCCTGTGGTCTGAGAGCAAGAGAAGCTAAAGGAAGTTAGATTAATGAGGTCTTGGAACAGAAGTGCAGTTGAAGGCAGAAAATCTATGTTATTTTACGCAAATAATAATGAGGATATAAAATTTACTTTCTTTCTCATTTTTACCGTTTATTTCATCTGTACCAGCTCTTTCAATAATAATAATAATAATAATAATAATAATAATAATAATAATGGTAATAATGGTAATAACGAAACCTTAAAAATAAAAATAATTTGAAATATTGAAAGAAAAAAACGCTACTGCGTTTGAAACAAATAAACTTCTAGTTCCTATCCTCAAATTTCAGTCAAGTTCGAGAACGCACCAAGACCAACGTCAACATGCGTGTAGGTATCCACACCGGAGCTGTCCTGGGAGGCGTCATTGGCCAGAAGCAGTGGCAGTTCGACGTGCTGGGAAAAGACGTCCAAATGGCAAACAAAATGGAGTCTGGCGGCGTTCCAGGGTAAGTCAGGGGTGTTATATGCGTGTCTCTTTAATTTTGTAATAGTAAAACATAAGGCAACTGTATTCGCATTGCTACTTCAGTAATAGATGTCACGACTGTTAAAATGGATGTGAAACTACGCTAAAGTACAAAAAAGTACTAAACCCTGTATCTCGGATAGACGCAACTCAGGCATGATGGTGATGAATGCGTGATTTATCACGTATGAATGTTTTGTTCAAGACAACCGCCGTGGTAATGTTTTTCGTCAAATATCACGAACCGACAGTTAGCTAAATGTCACATACTTCTATACTTCACTCACTCGTGGTGTGTCTGTTATACATGTTTTCCTTTCTGAGCTTTGTGGTGTCTGGCTTCAAGATTATGACACCAGAATCTCGGTCATGAATTGATTACTGCTAGTTTGGTAGGGTGCCTTTCCGAACGCTCCTAGGCCGCCATTATCCAATAAACTTTCAAAGCAAAAAACCGATGGATATTTTATGCGATGTGTGCGATTTCAGATTTTAAGGCTCATTCCAAAAGAAACAATCGTTTTACATAGATCGAACCAACTCCAGGGGGACTCTCGCTGAGAGCAATCAAAATAGAAGACTACCACGCTTCCTTTAGTTCCAAACGTAACGCTAATCGTATAATCACCAGGTTTCCTGTTTTCTCCTCAACGCCAGGAGGAGGCGTGCTTATCTATTTATCAGATTGCATTCAGCGAGAATCCCTGCGGAGTTGGATCTATCTATGTAGAACAATAGTTTCATTGGGCATGGACCATTAGATGTAGTAACAAATGTCAATTTTGAGTTAGAATTAATTTGAAATTTCCATTCGATTTATCTATCTTATATTATATATTAATTTTATTTTTTTTTCAGACGGGTCCACATCTCTCAGTCTACTGCAGACTTCCTGGATGGTGAGTTTGAGCTTGAGCCGGGAGAGGGCGACACTAGAGAGGAGGCCATAAAACAAGCTGGGATCAAGACTTACCTCGTAGGCACGGTTCTCAAGCCGGTACGTGGCGTCATCTATGGTTTTGAAAAAGCACTCAGCCAAATATCAAATTCCACGCTGACATCTTTTCTGATATATGTCAAAGGTCCTTTATAGTTCTGCTGACCAAACTGGTTTGAAATTGTTTAACATGAATAGGGAAGTGATATTACTCATAAGTTCCCGTACATTGCTTTCCTGTAGAAGTGATCTAAAAATATCTCAAATATCTCATGCGCCAGTACAATTAAAACCGAAAAATGTTTTTCCAACTTGAGTGACATTTTTAAGGCACCAGATACGATATCTTGAAGTTTGGGTTTATGTATATATATATATGTTTCAAGAACTATGCACGTTCCCAGCAATCACAGAACGTTTTATAACGTTAAAATCACATTATCAGAACGTTTTTTGGTTTTATAAAAACGTTATGGTAACGTTATAATAGCGTTCTGTGTTTGCTGGGTTTATTATTGGGTGATGTTACTATGGCAACATGTTTTGCACTCCAGTATCCCGAGGGCACTCTCGACGCTTCAAACGGAGCCGCAAATGGTCACGTGGCTGATGGAGTGACGTCAGACAACGAGCCGAAAACTACTGGCGACTCTGACGTAGAAAAGAACGATGTGGACAGTAATCAACATATATATGAAGCATTGGTTGAAAGAGATGATTCGACGTAAGTTAAAATTGGTCCTTCATTTTATCAATTTACATAAATCCTATAAGATGAGGACCAACACCCGAAGCACTGTATTCGAATACATAGCATTTACAACTGTACTCTGAGGTTCAAAATTCCCTGGAAATTCACCTCTCTACTTTCTTCATATCTCTGCTGTTTCCAGTAACATGATTTAAATTTAAGGGGATAATACCTCTTCGTATGAGATCTATATTTCACAATAAAAACATTGTAAACAACTCATAGAAATATAACATATTATGTTTCACCACAAAAACGACAGTTATAGCTATTATTCTATCTGAGCTTGTCATCGGACCACGTGACCTCCATAGATGGCTATACTCTGTAATAATCCCTTAAGAGATTATTACAAATAAAAAACTTTTTAGAAAAAAAAAACCAGAGACTAACATTGAATGTAGAAATGGATTCATTCACCATTGTTAAGTATGGGAAAATTGTTGTTTACTCCAGGAAAGTTCATTTTTTGGCCAAAACGAACAGTCATTATCCCTTTATTCCTTTAAAGGCACTTGAGCTTGCAGTATTTAGTGAAGGTTACTGAAAACGGCAGAGGCTTTTCATGACCCGTATGTCTCGTTTGGCTAACAACCCAGTAACAAACTTTCCAATTGTTGAATGCCAAAACGAGGCCCCCTTATGGATGGGAACGCAGGTTGCATGCAGTATGACCATTCTAAAGTGGATAGTTTATCTTTTGCAGTAGTACAAAACCTTTTTGTTTTTCCAAAGACATTACCGTTAAGCTATTAAACAATAGGGACGGACTATAAAGTGAAATATCGATTAAGGTTTGAGGCTGCTGACGTATGTTTTTGTTCTGTGGAAATTCAGACAGAGCAATTGCACGCTCTGTCTAAATTACCGGCAGTGTGTCTAGCTTGGAAATAAAAAGCAGCTGATATCGAGCGTGCAATATCTTTAACTTTTGCGTCCCTTATGCCCTATTACGCAGTTTATTTAGAGAAAAGCATATTGAAGATCATGAAATATGGTTTGTTCCTAATATTTTGACATAGTACACAATGCATGATGATTGATAATGTTTTCTCGGCGAAAGTGGTGCTTTCGCTCCGGCGCACACACAAAACTCTCATCTGAGCTACCGTGAGGGTCGAGAGGTTATTAAAACGACTAGATAAACAAGAAGTCATATTTCAACGCGAATCATTTACGTCACAGTGCATCATATTATGACGTCACATTGCACAGTGATTCAGCGACGTTTTATTTCCTAAATATCATTTTAGGCACATGTCCAAACGACTCAACCGCATCACACTTTGGTTCAAGGACAAGGAAGTGGAGAAGGAATACGGAAGTAACAGGGGCAAACACAGTGGCGTCACCCTGACCAGCACCTGCCTTATACTGCTAGCGTGCTTCCTGTCTCAGCTTTGGGTACTCCCCAGGTAGGTCACGTACATAAAAAATACAATGGCGGCTCCGAGAAACGGGGGTAGGGGGTAGGGGTGGAGGGGGGGAGGACAAGTGCCATGGCCAATGCTTTTCCCCTCCCCATCGGAATAAGAAAATAAAAAAGTGAAACCAGATAATACCAAGCGATTTCCCATCCCCTGCTGTGTCCTACACATGAGAGAATAATTATCCTTGCTAACTGACTGTTCATATTTTTTAGCATTGTCCCCCCCTCCCCTTCTCTGATTCCGCCAGCCAGTTTCTTGTCAACAGCATATCTTTATTTCACGATCGAAACTTTTTGACTTAGTTGGTCCATGAAAATCCCCTGAAGTAGAGAAATTCTTGGTTTAAAATTAACAATGTCTTACCTTTTGTTTCATTGATTCATTATTTTGCAATCGTTGAGACGTTAAACAGCCAGATAGGCAATTTTGTATCTTAAAAGAGAGAAGCAGGCAATCAATGATAACAGTTCATGATCTATTTCAGAAACGTCAATGCATTCTTGACATTTGCCGTGGTGTTTGTGTGTCTGGTGATTATGTCATTGATAAGTCTTGCAGCAGACATTAAGGTAAATAAGTAAATAAATAAATAAATAAATTTTGAGAAAGTAGGACGTGCACCACCATTGTTTTGACTAGAACAGAGAAAATACATCAGCTCGTGTTTTACAGACGTGAGACATTTACTGAGAGCAGGAAATGTAGAGATACCCTTTAAGGACAATTTACGTGAGCCTGTACATGTAATTCCACATAAGCTTATGCCTATATGATATTTTCTTAAATACTTGAAGCCTTTGCGTGTTTTCCTTTGCTTATCATTATTTGTATGCATAAGTAAAGTTATAGCCATGGATGACAATAATTATTTTTCTTAAATCATTTTTTAGAAGTTTCCGAACATTTTGGTTCGCTTTGCTCACTGGATTGAGGTAACCGTTTGGTTCCGGATATTCTGGGTTAGTCTTGCAGTCCTTATTTTAGCTGCAGCCGATATTATAGATATGGTAAGTTACGTTTACACTTATTTGAAAAAAAAGTTCTTCTTTTATATTACGTTTTAGAAGTGATGGCGGTGCAATGCTTCAACTTCTATGAAAAAACTCTTCAATATCTTTAAAATATTTAGTTTATTTTCAATTCTTCATTGATTCAGAAAAGACTTTGTTATATTTTACTCTGTCGGAAAATAATTCACGTATAATCCATATGCCCTTCGATGAAAATATACGTAAATCGCTTGGATAAAATTTATAAATCGTAAATTGTCATAATGGTTTGAGAATCAATAAGAGTTTGAAAAAACGAATCAATTTTTTTTTATTTCGACAGCTTGGCTGTTCCACCACGGACAACTTCACGGCAAACGCCACTCAGCTCAACCCCAGCACAGCCTATTGCCAGTATCCCTCTTACTTCATGGACTTCGGCATCATGGTTGTCATGGGAACGACCTTGCTGACCCAGATCAACTTCCTGGTCAAAATTATCCTGATTATAACCGTCTGCGCAGTTCATTGCGTTATGTATCTGGTTGTGATTCCGACAACTTTTGATGAGGTAGACAGCTTTCTTGGCTCCTATGGGTAAGTATGGCAGTATGCTCATAGATAATAATAATAATAATAATAATAATAATAATAATAATAATTTCGACTGCTTTTTTTCACGTGCTAAACATTTGCATACGTAACCTCATAGGCCGCCATACATACATGCTTTCATATAAATATGCTTTTTTGTCGCAATTTTAGATTTAATATTTCTTTCTTAATGCGCACAATGCTAGTTTCTAATTTATAGCAATGCATCTTGTTATTGTTCGATATAGGTGAGAAAGTAATCAAAAGGATTTATTGAATTCTGGCTTTTAGAGATATCTGGAAATGAAATGTTATTATTTGCCTGCCCCTGTCATTTCCAGTTCCTTGAAAAATGATTAAATGCTTTAATTAAAACGAAAAAAGTTTTTAATAAAATTTCATTCTGACAAAACAAGAAATGAAGTTAAAAATAATATTTCCTCTTGTTACAGCGGTGTGTTGATGCCAACAAAATATCTGATGGTTGCAACAATAGGAGCCGTTGCCTTGACAGCAGCGTTTCTTTCTCGCTCGGTAAGTGCTATTACATCATAGCTTAAGACAGCACAAATGAAGCAGTTGTCGTGTCAGATAAACAGTGAGGACTGGAATAATTATATCTTTTCATAGTTGTGTTTGGATTCAGATTTTTATTATCCTATATAAAGCAGGCCCGTAGCCGGGGAGGGGGGGGGTTAGGGGGGTTCGAAAGATACCTCCATTTTGGTGGAAAAAAGTCCACTCTGGGTAAAATTTGACCTAGGTGCATGGGGATTATATTGTAAAAGGTCCACTTTTTCAGAAAAAGACCCCCCCTTTGAAATTGCTGGCTACAGGCCTGTATAGAAATGTTCTCCACTTTAATTGTACTCCCTCTGTCGCGTCTTCTTTTAGACAAAGAAGCATGTTGAGTATAGCGTTTTACCGAAATGAATACGACGACTATTATGAAGCTTTTCAGTAACACGTTTGATCGATGATGAATTCCATTTATTTTGACGATGATATAGGCCTACTCTTTATTTTACCATTGCTCCAGGCGGATCAAATGTCCAGGAAGCTGTATCTATGGAAACAAGAGGCAGAAGAACAAAAAGAGATGGTGACAGTCCTCCGCGAGAAAAACGAGACCCTAGTGTACAACATTCTTCCTGCGCACGTGGCAGTCGAGTTTCTTGGAAATAAGAGAAGCGACGGGGTACGTGAGCCTTGGTCCTTTTTTTTATAAAGGTGTTTAAATCGAAACTTACTAGTATTCTTAGGTTAGTCGGCTAAAATCCTAGCTGAAAGGCGTGTTTTACAAAGAATCCAAAAGCATGATAAGTAGCAGATAACGTCGTCATATGAAGTAATCTTACTTTTTTCAGGAACTATATAGTCAGGCGTATGAACACACAGCTGTGATATTTGCAGCGTGCCCCAACTTCAACGACTTCTATTCGGAGGACGCCGTTAATAACAACGGGCTAGAGTGCTTTCGTTTCCTTAATGAGATTATTTCAGATTATGATGAGGTACAGTACGTTATGGCTTCACAACGAGTGTTAAACTTTTGAAATCGGGCCATTTATTTAGCTCCTTTTTATGAGCAAGGGACACGTATGGGTAAAAGACTTTTAGTTATATTCAACGTTTTGGCGAATACACATAAGAGGTCCATAACTGATCATGATAATATATAAAAAACTTCATTAAATGGTATTGGTAGCCACACTTGTACAGCAATCATGGACCATATATTTTAGGTTATTCCGTACATCATTTTATATAGGCTAAACCTATATTTCGTTCAGATTCACTATTAAAAAGCAAATCCTTAAACTAGGAGGTGCAATAAAAACAAGAGAACATAAAAACCTTAAACATCATCGTAAAACACTTGATTTTTATTACAGCTCTTGAACGAGCCACGTTTCTCAGATATTATCAAGATAAAGACTGTCGGTTCCACATATATGGCGGCAAGTGGTATAAATCACGCAAAATCTCACACGAAGGGGACTTCCGTCAAGGAGATCTGGGGCCACCTGGCGGCGCTTGCTGACTTCGCGTTTGCAATGAAGGAGGCGCTGGATACCATAAATCAACAGTCCTTTAATAACTTCAAACTTCGGATAGGTAAGGGAGGTCAAAGGTCGTATTGGTCAGGGTCGATGTTTCTCAAAAGAATGTTATATCTATGGTGTGATCGTCGTTGATATTTCTTCAGCAAAAAGCGTAATCGTCTTCAATTTTTTGTATTTAATTCTGTTTTTCCTTGGTGTTAAACTTATCTTTGCTATTAATGAGTTAAACAGCTGAAATATGAAACACAGATATAATGAAAATATTAATGTATTTGTGACTTAAATTGCAATTATTTTTATGAATGGTTTAATTTTTCTCTCGTAGGGATACATCACGGCCCCATAGTCGCCGGTGTAATAGGAGCGAAGAAGCCTCACTTTGATATCTGGGGAAACACTGTGAACGTGGCCAGTCGTATGGACTCCACAGGACAAGTTGGTCGCATTCAGGTGAGATAGTTCATACAACAGAGTACAGACACGTTTAAAACTGGATTAACTTGCACACAGAATAAACAAATTGACGTTTTGCGCGACCAATTCACATCACGACCAGTTTTCGTCAAAGGATATCCCGTGCAAATACCCTTTTCCAGTCAAACACCAATGGCAAAAGTAGTTTTGATCTTAAGGTACTGTGTATTTTGTAAAACTGGCCCCTGAATGTAATGAAGCACTTGATTGCGATAGATGAGACCGTATAATTGCTTCTCGATACCAACCACAATCGTAAGGTGAAAGAGGTGATCCACATCAGACGCAGAGACGGTGATCTCAGCAGGGGTGAGGAGGCACATGTTCCAACTATTGACCACATATCATTCCATTAGTTACAGACAGGGGGCAGCACTTCTCCAGTTTTCACAATAAAAGGCCCATCAACATTCTACGTCACCTCATATAGGGAACAAGCCAATGGGAATTGGCCGAAAACATTTTGTAATAAGCCAATTACAAATTTAGTCGTGATATTATTTTTGACACTCTAAAATAAAACCACTTTTCATATCTTTCACAGGTGACAGAAGACACGATGCTCATCCTCAAGGAATTTGGTTTCACGTTCCAAAAACGCGGCATGGTGAAGGTGAAGGGGAAGGGCGAACTGCTCACCTTCTTCATGGAGGGCAAACAGACTGAGATGACATCGCCTTTAGATTCCGGAACGATGAACGGGAAAGCTGATGCTCTTCCACCATTATAACTGATCTACTTGCATGTAAGAACCTCTCAAATAGGACTGGCCCAGTTAAATATGAGCAGTGCCTTAATTACTTAGGACACAGAGGAGAGGGGTTTTGGAAAGAGCTCACTGTATAACCACACTTAATTGGAACGGCTGACGAAGACGGAGGCAAACTGGCTAAATCTCTCCAACTGATCTACAGTTTATTTTTGTAGAAGGGTGGATTCTGAGTAGAGGCCGTGTCCTCTTCTTCGATCAGATACGAAGGTAGCACCGCTCGCCTTCAAATACCTTATTCCATTTTTAGGGATAGAGAGCACAGAGAGGCTTGAAGAGTTGGTAACTTAATTGCTTCTAGGACCACAAAAACTTTTTGAAGATAAAAGCATATATGTGATAACTTGAATGTAAATATTTTGATATTGTGTGATATTTGTAAATGCCAAAGAGACAAAAAAGATATTTTGCATGTTATATATTAATTATTTAGCGAATATTTCTCAGACTCGTCTTCTAACAATAGCGGTAACGTGATACAAAGCATAATGTCACTATCCATACAGTAATTTTTACGACCAGTGTCGGATTTTTTTGAAACAATAGTTTAGTGCCACCTGCGGAGAAGTTCAAGCATTTACTGGTATAAATGATAGAACTATATCCGAACAGTTAACGTATTTGTTAGTGGATTTGTTGTGATTTTCACATTCCGACGTATTATATATATTGACAAAGACCGTATGGATAAAGTCTTCTTATACGTGTAGCATACGTGTACTGTAGCTGTACATAGTATAACTTGTTGTTTTTTTTTTTAATTCTAAGGGACATTGGTCTTCAGATATTGAGGGTATTTGCCCTCCATTCAGCTCACTATGTTTAAATTTTTCTGAGAAGTATACACCATAAATTCGTATAGGGAAAGTGTAACTTTGAAAATGTCACTATATATTTAAGTCAAACTGCAGTGCAGAGCACACGAACGCCAGCTTTTAAAAATTGTCGTATTTTGTATTATCATGTTCCCCACTTCTGTTGCAATTAGGGTTTTTTTGGAGCTGGTCTCTTGCAAAACGGGCTTCTATTGAAGCTGGGGCTTATATTTATTGGGCATCCCTTAGCAAAATGAGAAGTTTGCAGCAATATTCCAGCAACATTGCCGCAAACTAAAAGTGTGCAGCAATAAGTTTGCGGGAGTTCGCAAGAAAAAAGTTATTGCTGACAATTTACAGCCATATTGCAGCAAATTTGCTGCAAGTTTGCAAGAGGGGTTTGTAGTTTGCAGCAATATAGCAGCAGAGTTGCTGCAAAGTCGTTGCAAATTTGCAGCAGGCCTTATAATTTGCTAAAGGATTCCAAACAGCAAAAAACGACTGTACACTATTAAGTATTGCATCAATCTTGCAACATATTAGTTGCAACTCAGAGTTGCAACTCAGTAAACTTAGAGGGCTGCTACTTACGTATGAAGGGTATAAAAGGGCTTTTGTTAAATCAGGGGCTTCTGTCTTACAGTTAAGCAAATGCTCGTTTTACAATACACAGTTTAAGAAAATATATTTTGCGCGTTTATTCAAACGATGTTGTTTATTTGTTTGTAGTCATACGTACATGTATATATACATGTACTCGTACATGCACTGTTTGCGGTTCTGTTGTCTAAAGGTTGTGTTATAAATATTAACATGTAAATAAAGATTTTTAAGTTTTCAGCATACTCATTCACTTTTGTCATATGTTACAGAACATGTTACTGCGGATGTTAGGTCTATCCGAGTAAAAAATGGGTTTATAAGGTAACCCAGTGAGGAATAGAACTTTAACAGCAGAAATTTGGCTTTCTTTGCAATAACTGATTCGGTTATGTCCCTAGTACGGATCCGTTAAAACAGGGAATAATATCGGATATAATTCCCTGGTTAAAATGACTGTAAACCCATTTTCCATGTCCTAATTTGCACTTTTGCCGTCGTGATTGAAATTCGCCAGGTTTTATCTCTATACGGTACATGTAGGAAAGTAACTCATATTTAATAAACGTGGAACTCAAAAACCGTGCTATAGATTGTAAATTGATTGTCAGCAGTTTTGGCGATTTAGGTAGTCAAAATTCTTAATTCAAAATAATTTTTCAGAAACCGAAGGGGGGTGGGACCCCCCCCCCCCCCCGACCCCCCTAAATCCGCCACTAGGGTATTTCTATAATAACGTACACTGTCAAACACACTCAAAGGATCAGCAAACAAATATAGAATAAATTATTATCAGTGGCGGGTTTAGAGGGGGGGGGGGGGTCAGAGGCCCCCTTCGATTTCTGAAAAAAAAATTACACCAATGGTCACCTCTTGCAATAAGAATTTTGACTAGCTGAATCATTCTTCTAAACAGTACCAAATGGCACCGTTCGTCCTCTAAAATAACGAAAATTTTCGGGGCCCTTTAGCGGGCACCGGGTCTCAAGCCAAGGACCCCCCCCCCCACCCTTTCAAATAATACTTGATCCGCCCCTGATTATAATACCGTGAAAAGACGAATACTCCATAAAGTGGTAGACACGGCACACCTGTACGCCAGCAGCACGCCCAATCAATGCCTTGGACACAGCCGTTAGTTCATACTACCTGTGTTGTATTTACTTCTATATTTATCCGCATTTGTCCATTATGACGCGCGTAATTGGACAAGCCTTCATATTGACCCAATTTCTCACAGCTCATTCCTTTTGTGAGCAGGCAAAACACGCGGCTGCTCTATTTTAAGGTTCTTTTTAAAGATAATCGTTCGCAGTAAGGAACGTGCGACGCCTAGATTAAGTCTGCTGTACGACCATTATACACACGGTGCAAGAATTAACGCAGAATGAGCTGAAGTTGATGTTAAAGCCGGAAGAGAGGGAATGCCACGATCTATATAGTACTTAATCATGGATTTTCATAACTCATGATGGGTAATACATGAACAAAGGCCTGCGACCGTGGGTTCATTTTGGGTTGCATATTTACGTGAAATATACGTCGGATTTGGGTGTTTTATGCCTTACTATCACGCAGGACCCTTGCATTAGGACTATACATACTCGTATATATAATATAGCTTCAGCCACAAGATGACCTCGACGTACGGGTATTCACGCTTATACAAGATCCTGGCGGCCACTCTGGTTTCCTTGGAAGTCAGCATCTACAGCGTTAGCGTCATTGGCTGGCAGTCTTTGGTGTACGTGTTCAGGGACGCTCATTTCTACTCTCATCTCTGCACGAACGCGTCCGCGGATTTCAACAGGTCGACCCAAGAGGATTTTGAAACACGTGTCTCCCATGAGTGTCGCGAGCAAGAGGAGATGTTGAATCTCGTCTTCACAGTGACGGTGCTACTTCAGGTTGCCATGCCGCTGCTTGGGTACATCTATGATCATTTCGGATTTGTGTGTGCCCGGGGTATTAGTATGTAAGTCATATATCAATATTCAGACCCGTAGCCGGTTCGGGTGGGAGTGGGAGTTCGGGGGGGGGGGGGGGGGAAA